TATATAAATGTATATTAATTGTGTTTGTGTGGGTGTGTCTCTGTGTGTGTGTGTGTGTGCGTGTGTGTGTGTGTGTGTGTGTGTGTGAGTGTGTGTGTGTGTGTGTGTCTGAGTGTGTTTGTGTGTGTTTGCTATTTCCGACTATAATTGTAGACGTGTTTACGCCTTATCACTCCTTATCACTACTTAAACCAGAAATTGTCATTTTTGTCTTTATTATAGACAGCGTCCACTTTTACCACCTCTTTACTAAGAGGCTAAAATTTTCGCACCGCCCTCTTATACGTATTCCCGAGCGGGCATAAAATAACATCCACTTGTGGGCGATACCGCCTAGGTAGGCAAGCGCTGATTTAGATCATGTCATTTCTGAGACAAAGCACTAGGCCCAGTGGTAGAAGAGTTTTTTCATTTCTTTTAATTCCATTTAAGAGTTTTACGCAAGACAAAGTAAAGTGGAGGTCTGTGGTTGCCCACGCCAGTAGGCAAGGCATCGGATGATGATGAAGAGTTTTACGGCACTTGCAACACAATAAGGTCATTTAAGTACCGAAATTAGAGGTGTTACAAGAGAGTTACAAACACAAAAAAGAAGGGCGGAGGAGAGACCAGGAAGTTGATCGGAAAGAAGGAGCAAACAACACCAGAGCACCCGTGGTAGAAAGGCGCGAGGGGGGAGGGGGGGGGAGATGAATAAACAAGACAGCGAAATACACTTTAAAGTAAAGGTCAAATGAGTAAAATGAGCATTCTCCCATGCTATGTGACACTAATTGACCACCTAATTCTGGGACACATTGTCCTATTTATTCCCACATGCTGTTCTGGATAAGCTAGACCGTGTGACCCACAGATGGCATCTTGACTGCTATGCTCCCATACTGCAGTACTGTAGTAGTAGTAGTACTGTAGTATCTATAGTCTACTTAGTGACTATAAGTGGCTGATTCTTATCGAGCACACCACCTCTCTTCAAAACAATTCTTTTTTAAAACCGAATCTACAAGCAAGAATATAAAAAAAAATGCAAGGATAATTTTATGAAAATGCAATAAAAGCGTCATTATTTGTTTATTTCAGTAAAGGGCAGCACATTATCATTACAATAACGGTCATTTAGTGCAAGAAAAAGGTAAGACAGAAAGACAGAGAAGACAAAAAAATAAGAGGGCCACCCTCCAACCACCCGCAGAAAAAGCATTCACTCGTCTGACTCATCTTTGACTGTAGCTTTAGGCCCAGTGCACACTGCAAATCAGATTCGTCGATTTGAGTAGGGGTGGCCACATTTTTCTCCTTAAAAGGGGCTACAGCTACCATTTTGACACAAACGGGCCTCCGACCGATTCGACGTATGACCTTGAAAAATAAACGCGTAAAAAATTGTGCTCTGGAAGGTCACGGTTGAATTTAGTCAAATTCAATCGAAGGGAGTCAAAATGACAGCTTTTGTTACTCTTTTGTAACACATCTAATCTTCGGCACTTATATGACCTAATTGTGTTGCAAGTGCCAAGACTTTTACTAAAACAATCGAACTTAATAACTTGACCTAGTTCACACATTAGGGGTCTCCACTCTCAAGGAGGGGAAGGGGGGGGAGTGCATAAGAATTACTGTGATGTCATGCGCGATAGATGCTTTTAATTCATTTTAAGAATGACGTGAGTGTGTGTGTGTGTGTGTGTGTGGTGG